GAGAGAGAGAGAGAGAGAGAGAGAGAGAGAGAGAGAGAGCGAGAGAGTGAGCGAGAGAGAGAGTGAAAGAGAGAGAGAACGAGAAACACATGCACGCACACAAACACATGCACGCATGCACGCACGCACACAGACATATACACAGAAACGCACACGTATATACACGCGTAACAGAAATATACATTCTACACGTGCTAGCCCATCTCTGACCTGCACTGTTTTTCCGAGACCCATGTCGTCTCCCAAGATGGCGCCACTGACGCTCCTGTAATGTCGATAGAGGAACTCGACTCCTTCGCGTTGATAATCGCGCAGATGTTGGTTGATCGGCGCCGGTATCTACACGTCGTCGAGAAAACAAGAGGCAATGTTCAAGCTTGACGCTTCCCAACACACACGCAACCTAGTGAAAGGGTTTATATCTCTCACTGGCAAACTTGGGTAATATATATGTATGTATATATATATATATATATATACATATTGGAAGTTCACATTCCTCACCCTAACAATATTTACATGCACACACCCACACACACGTATATGTATATATATACATGCATGCGTGCGTGCGTGATTGCGTGTGTGCATGCGTGTTTGTGAGTGCGTCCATGCGTTAGGTACGTAAACATTATTAAGACGTGGGATGTGAGCGTTCGATGCCAGTTAGTCGTATTGCACACACGCACCTCCACCTCAGTGATATATGGATCGAGATAAAGATAGAGACAGAGACAGGCGCAGACTCAGGCACACGCACCTCCACCACAGGTAACTCTCCGTCCGGGGACAGTCTATGCGGCACCTTGGGATGAGGAGCCGGGTAACTGAAGCTGGGACGTTCCATTTCGTCAACAGAGAAACCTGAAAAATCCAAATAGATTGTCATGCATGTATTCGTACGTGAATATGTGTATCGAATATGTATACTTGATGATAATCCCTTTAATGTATACGACGTGGTACGTATATGTATATACATTATATTACATATACATTATTATACATACATTATATTACAATATTACATATTGTATGTGTATCGAATGTGTATATTTGATGATATTTCCTTTGATGTATAGAACGTGGTATGTATAATATGTACATCCATGAAATGCCGTGACGTTTACGTTTGAATTTTACGTTTGAGTAAAAAAAAAGTCTTCTATGCTGTCAACGTCTTTATGTCAGCACTTTAGAGATGCGTTAATTAATTAATTTGTATTTGTATTTGTATTTTAAATTAATTTGTAATTTGTATAATTTGTAGGTGGCGCAAATACTAGTTCTAGAACAACTGTACCTTGATTCCCACAAGTTGCACTGTGACATGCTTTGCTGCCAGTTCTATCATCTGCCTTGCCGCCAGCACTGTCATCTGCCTTGCTGCCAGCTGGATCATCTGACCTTCCCTCGACCTTCATTCCAGGACTGCGATCACCGTCTGAATCAACCACGCGTGCGTGCGCTCTCGCTCCCTCCTCTACGCGCCTATCACGCCCGCCGGGAGTATCGACGCGCGAGATCTCTCGATCGTCGCCGGATCCTGCTGATCTAAGCGGTGATTCGCTGCCCGACTCGCGGCCGGAGGCTCGACCACGACTCAGAGCATCCGCTCTAGCGTCGGTGGCGGACGCTTCTGTCTGGGGTTTACTTCTGGGTCGTCGCTTGCAGCCGCTCGACTTCTGATTGGCGCGAGGAGAACCTGCAAGGTCGCCGCAAACGACCTTGAACGACAGCGGCAGTGACTACGAACGGGGGCAGGGGTCGAAATAAGCGATGGTCCGATGGTCCGATGGTCCGGGGCCATCAAATAATCAGGAGGACCATCAGATTTTCAAAGTCAATGGTCCGGCGGACCATTGAATATTTTGGTCCCATTTTACGTTAATTTTCTTTGAAGTTTCCATGTTTCAATATACTATTAAAGTGAATAAACAATTACTGTATCATTTGAGACATTCATTGTAGGTGAATAAATAAATCATTTTATCACCATGTAAAATCTCTTTCTTTTACGCTTGCACGCCGCATTACTTTTAGAGAACAATTTAAAATTTAGGAGGACCATCTAAAATATAGAAGGACCATCTAAATTTCAAACTAGATGGTCCTGTGGACCATCTCTTTTTTTCTCCTTATTTCTACCCCTGCGGGGGTAGTAGCAATGGGTTTGCACCCACTAAAGAATCGGTGCAAAAGGCGCGTTCTTTTTTCGGAATTTTTTTCCTGACGAGGTTTGGTACGAGGGACCGTAAAATGTTACTGCATCAACACGGCATTTGTTTTGAAATGCTAGGGGATAGCTGATATGGCTCTGCAATGAAATTTATCTGCACGATATGTACAGACTGTTGTCTGTGTGAAGATCTGTGATTGATGTTGAATATACATGTATGAGCTGACAATTTCTACGCGATTTACACGCAAAAATAACACGCATACCCGTTTTCCGTCTCCCTGGAGAGCTGCCGAGAATCTTAGCTCTACTCCTCCCCACTTCCTTGGAAAGCATCTGGGAATCTTCCCTCGACTGGTGCCGTGTTTCCGATTCCCATTCTCTTTCCAAGGCGGAATATTTCTCCCTGAATACACAAATGCAATTTCTATACACGTTGTGCCAACTTTTATGTAAAATAATCCGTGAAGTGCCAAAGTATAGACCCAATAACGACTCCTCCAATCTCCGACGATGATTTTTAGATACGCTAATTATTAGTTAGTTATTAATTATTTATTAGTTAGGCTGCTTATTTATGCCCTGAAATAAAAATACTCAACAGACAGACTTTCACACCACAGATATGACTTTCAAACCATGCCATACACCTTGCGATGAAACTGCAAAATGTATCCGTCAATATTAGTGATGTCACGATCATCGATTATACTCGATCATCGGTTGAACAGTGGCTCGAACCAAGCGCTTGGTTATCAAAATCCATAATCAATTTGATCGAAAAAAAAAGAAGTTTTTTTTTTAAAACTTGAACAAGAAAACTTGGAAAAGTGATGAGAATCAGAGATATCATTGCTACTATATACAAGTTATCCTTTATTAACATACATGTATTATACACACAGTAGTAAACAGTGCAAAACAAACAGTAAACAGGGCTAAACAAGCACATACATGCACACACGTACATGCACACGACGTTACGCACACGCAGGCATTTAACACCCCGAGTAACCGATTGTAACCGATCATCGGTTACTTGGGTCCAACCGATGATCGATTACGAAATTACAACCGATTGACAACACTAGTCAATATGAATACTGCAAAAGTATTGTTTCCACGCTAGACTTTTTACATTGACATTTCTGACGTGATCTATCGTCTATCGTTAGTAATAAATACCAGAGTCTGCTTTGTTCTTCGTTCCCTTTTAGTGGACTGAACATCACCGCTGACGTTTGTTGTTCGCACCTGCTGCTCTCGCCTGAAACAAGAGACCATCTGGACGTTCTGCACTGTGACTTTAACTGCAGATATTATCCTATTTTAGGGCAGCATCAAGAAACGACCTATAGCCAGATGACATTCTACGTACGTAATGAATGTGGCATGCTAAATGTGGTTATTGTAATTAAATGACCGAGTTGATTAGAGAGCGTTCTACAGAAATCGCATGCTTAATATTATGAGTTGCTAGGGTCAGAAGTTCACAGCTCTATTCCCATAAAGCATTTCTTGTGTTATGGTCAAGTGCTGCCACCTGCTGTGGTAATGCGATATGAACGGTAAACCAGCGATATTACAGAGATTACCTGCTTCGGGTCGAGTTGGTGTTACCGGCCCGGTTTGTGGTCGAAGCTTACGTAACTCTGTGATGCACACAGTCTCATTGTCTTCGGACGAGTACCCCTGTACAAGATGCCACAGGATCAGAGCAGTGTTGGAAATAGCAGTACGTTGTCCACTGTCTGATAGCCAACAATACCCACCACAGGGTGCGAAATTAACGCGAGTCCGGAGTCAAACACTCCCTGATTTGACATTATATGCAGGAGTCCGTGTGACTCCCTGAAAATTCTGTTATACAAAGTTCCAGAGTAGGGCCCAGTACCCGTAGTACCGGTAGTAGTTCGTTCCAGAGCACGGCCTCACGAAATTACCGTATTTTTCAGCAACTGTCCAAAGAAAATTTGGCAGACGTGCATGCCAATAATCTTCAAAATAAGCACATGTATGCGTTATGGTTGTTATGCTTTAATTTTGAACTTCAGACTGCGGACTCCCTCATTTTTGAGGGCATGAAGTCCGTTGGACTCCCTTATTCAAAAGTTAATTTCTACCCCTGCGGCACCGTTTGAGCAGGACTGGCTAATTTTCAAAGGCTTTACTACATATTATATAGTAGAGATATTCGAAATCAGGGCTGGATGGGGATTTCAAAGTCCACGGAACTATAACGAAGACGCCAAGAGATAAAGTTGATCAAACAGACAGATCAACACAATCACTGGTGGGTGGTGCCCGATATACAGCACTCAGTGTGTACGAGTCTAACCTTGTAGTGTACGGTGACGGTTTTGCGCGTCCCGCGCGCGTTTATCGACCTGACGACTGCCGAGTGGAGTCCACCGTCGACCGAACATGGCGCCTTACACTTGTCTCCAACACACCACACTGAAGGAAAACTGAAGGTTTTACATGGGGACACACGGCCTGCGGCAGTCAATGTACGCGGGCAATAGTACTAGAGCTACATAGGCCCTAGCCACAAGTTCCCTTCTCGCTTAACACTACGTTGGCGAGAGGTGTCCTACGACGTGTAACATGCACTAACAGTCGGAGAGCCTGGTCGGTTTACATAGGCCCCTACCCGTAATCTTCCCCATCCCGAGATATTTTTGAAAGTGAGGAGGCTTTTTTTTATTTTTCATTTTCATTATTCATTCTTGAATATTGTGGTTAACCATTGTTCATTTGCGACATCCGATACATGGTGTGTAATAATTCATACTTTTTTATCTGTTGTCGAATATTTTCTTCAAACTCATCGATCTTCTATATTCATGAGAAATACTTAACGCATTCAGCATTCAATATGACAATTCGGAGCATTTATATTTTGAACATTCCGCGAAAAGACACGGCCAGATAGAACGATTTCATTAGTCAATCTTGACGCAATGATGAGTTCCTGACCAATCAGAGCCATCTGCTTTATTGATGTGGCCCTCAATTATAGTGTAGCAATCTATCACAGCATGTCTCGCTGAACGTTGGCTGTAGACTGGTACCGGTCGTCCCACTCTCGGCTTATCTCCATGCAAGTAATCGAGGTGCGAGCGAGATGAACAGTCTACTTGGCTTGTTACATTTGCCATGTAGCCTGGGGTGTTGCTATCCACGGGCGTGGAGGGAGGGTACACGTGATAAGCGTTGACGATGACGTTCAAAACGTTAAGCCCATAACGGTAACCTCCTCGAACACTGCAACGAACTAACACTGCTACAACTGAAATATGAATATGTGTCGCCGCCGCTATATATAGGCATTGTTGATCCACAAAAAATTTAATCTATGGTGTGCGGGGACAAGATATCATGATGCAAAAGACCCTAACCTTAACCCTTAATCTAACCTAACCTACCTAACTAATCCTAACACCCTATACCCAACCTTATTAAGCCTAACTACCCTACCCTAACCCGTAACCTGACCACCCTATCCTAACACTATCCCAACACTGTGCTGCCACATTGTAGTCTCCTCCTCCACGCCCGTGGATAGCACTTACCGTGCCTTGGCACGTTTTATGGGCGAGATCGGGCTGTAAGTCGATAGTACAGATACGTAACGGCAGCATGCTGTTGCTATTTGGTATATGTATGTTTTAATCGCTCTGAATGGAACAACTTGAGTTTTAAATGATTTAAAATGGAAAATAATGAAATCTTATTGAAATAATGTATTTTCGGCGGCTGGCTCTGACGGCATGCGGGGCGGTGGACGTGGCAAACTTACCTCAATTCTCATGGCTTATCAGGCAGTACAAGATAAATATAGTTAGATATATTTATCTTACTCTGTAATATTCAATAGGATTCATTTTNTGCATACGTCGCAACGTCGCGCACACGTCGCAACGTCGTGCATACGTCGCAACGTCGCGCATACGTCGCAACGTCGCGCATACGTCGCAACGTCGCGCATACGTCGTGCACACGTCGCAATGTCGTGCACACGTCGCAATGTCGTGCACACGTCGCAATGTCGTGCACACGTCGCAATGTCGTGCATACGTCGCAACGTCGCGCATACGTCGCAACGTCGCGCATACGTCGCAACGTCGCGCATACGTCGTGTATACGTCGCAACGTCGCGCATACATCGCAACGTCGCAACGTCGCGCATACGTCGCAACGTCGCGCATACGTCGTGTATACGTCGCAACGTCGCGCATATGTCGTGTGGGACTCGAGGCCCTTCTCA